ATGGAGGACGAGCGAGAGGCATCGCGATTGAACTTTGGCCCCCCTGGGTATCGAGGATGACCAGGGGGATAGCCATGCTTTCCCCAACACACATCAATAGTGTGTCCAGGACGGTGACAATAGGAGCATTTCTTATTGGAGGCTCCTTTGACAGTGGAAGAAGGACCAGAGCCACGCCCTTTGCCGGAGAAAGAGTGATTAACTGCATTCACAAAGGCGTTAGGTTCAGTAGGCAAAGACGTAGTGAGTTGTCGTTCTTGTTGGACAACCATGGAGAAGACGCAGTTGATAGCGGGTAGAGGATCCATCAAAAGGATTTGTGAACGCACAATAGAGAAGCGTTCATCCAAACCTTTGAGGAATCGGTTTATGAAATCTTGTTGGTGTTAAGTTTTGGCAAAACACGAGCAAGAAGAAAAGGGTCTATAGTTATCGAGTTCTTCCCAAAGGGTCTTCAATGCGGTGTAGAACTTAGAGACAGAACGAGTTCCTTGAGAAAGTCCATATATTTCTTCCTGGAGCGCTGCGATTCTGAGAAGATCGCCTTGTGAAAAACGTTCGCGAAGGTTATTCCAAAGGTCTATGGCACATTCGAGGAAAAATAATGCTTTGGGCGATGGAGGGAGTAATCGAGTTGAGTAACCACGACATGACAAGGGTATTGCACCNATATATATATATATATATAGAGAGAGAGAGAGAATCAACAGAGCATGCAATAGCATACAGAATCAACAGAAGTCACAGAAAAAATAACCTGATTAAATTCGGGAATATTATAAAATTTCCTATTATAAAAGATTTTCAAAATAAAAAAATACAAAATTACCTGCATATTCTGCTGCCAAGTATCCAAATGTACCAGCAAGCCTGGTCACTACAGATTTTTTGCCATCAGGGGCAAGTTTTACCAATCCAAAATCCGAGACTTTTTCTCTAAAGTCATACCCAAGCAAAATATTTGATGATTTAAGATCTCTGTGAATGAAGATCTGATGTGCCAGGCTATGAAGATACTCCATTCTTCTAGCAACATCCAAGGCGATATTGAGCCTCCTCTTCCAAGAGAGTGGCTCTAGTTGCAAGCTCTTCCAATGGAACAGATGCATACTCAGAGCCCCTTGTGGCATATACTCATAAACCAGAATCCTCTCATTACCTTCAACTGAATAACCCAAAAGAGATACCAAATGCCGGAAGAGCACTGTAGCGAAAACCTAGATCTTCGCCGTGTGAGAGAGGAAGAACGAGAATGGCCACGTATTCTTATTGGTCAACGTGGCAGAGAGTGCAGAGCGCAGTTGGATATCGCCGTTTGCCACATCTACTAAAATTTAACGCCATCCATTTTTAAGGACTAATATTAATAGTTTCAAAACTACGAGGATTAAAACCCATCAAAGTTTCGAATAGGGACTAAAACCAAAATCGTGTGATACTTAAGGGACTAAAAACATATTTAACCCTAAAGATAATTTATTATTTTACAACACTTGTTTATTTTAAAAACCTAACTTATTCTTATATATGCATCTCTTTTCTCTCGAATCTCATGTTATTAAAGAGAAATGTGTGTATTGTAATGAATTTCACCAATAAATTTAAAAGGTTAAAGTAATATATTTATAACGAAAGATGATAAAAGGAGAAAGTGTTTAACAATGATGAATAATCAATATTACAGTAAACGATGATCCAATATTCATATACAATAGTCCCTTCTATTCTAGAATTCTAATAGTAGAATAGAAAAAATAGCAAATGATAGAACGAACAAAATAACAAATGACAGAACGGACAAAATAACAAAACGAAAAATATGCAGTGGTGCAAGATTGTAAGTTTGTTATAAAAAACATATTGTACAAGTTTGTTAGCCTCCCGCAAGCTGGAAAGGAGTGTCAACCATCTCTAGCTCGGACAAGTTTGCATGGAATAGCCGAGGAGGAAGAGCTTTAATGAAGATATCAGCAAGTTGCCGAGATGATGGAACTGGAAGAAGCTTCATTAATCCTGCTTGTGCCTTTTCTCGAACCAAATGACAATCTATCTCCAAGTGTTTTGTTCTTTCATGAAATACTGGATTTGCAGCAATGTATAAAGCACTTTGATTATCACAATAAAGTGTTGTTGACTTAGAACACTAGATTTTGAGATCATTGAGAAGGTAAGTTAACCATTGCAACTCACAGGTACTAGTAGCAAGGGCTCTATATCCTGCTTCAGAGGAAGAACGAGACACATTATTCTATTTTTTGGTTTTCCAAGAAATTAAAGAGTTCCCTATGAAGAAACAATAACCTGTGACTGATCTGCGTGTGGAGACGCAAGTTGCCCAATCGGCATCACTAAACCCAATTAGGTGTATAGGAGAATTTCGTTGGAAGTAGAGCGCCTTGTTTGGACAACCTTTCAAGTATTTAATAACTCTTTTTGCAGCACCTAAATGAGACTTTGCAGGATTTACCATGAACTGACTTAATTGTTGAGTCGCAAAGACGATGTCTGGACGAGTCGTTGTGAGATAAATCAAACGACCAATGAGTCGCCTATAGGATAGGGGATCATCAAGTAATTCACTCAAATTAGCTTGTTTTAAACGAAGAGAGGTATCCATAAGAGTGGAACTCGGTTTACAACCCAATAATCCTGAATCAGAAAGCAACTTAAGGTAGTATTTTCGTTGAGATACAAAGATGTCATCATCATACCTGCTTACTTCTAATCCTAGAAAATATTTGAGTTCCCCCAAATCTTTAATTCAAAAATTGGATTGAAGTATATGCTTGAGCTTTGTTATTTCAGTGGAAAATATTTGAGTTCCCCCAAACCAGTAAATTTCCCTTTTTCATGCTTGATAAACAAGCTGTGATCAGCATGTGATTGAAAATAACCAGATGAGAGAAGAAGGTTAGAAAATTTCACATACCATTTTCGACTTGCTTGTTTTAGCCCATAGAGAGATTTTTTGAGCTTGCAACACTGTGAGGATTCATACCCATATAGACCTTGAGGAATCTTCATGTAAACCTCCTCGGACAAGTGACAGAGTAGAAAGGCATTACTAACGTCCAATTGTTGCAATTCCCAATTATTTATGGAAGATAGGGCAAGGATAACTCGTACGGTAGCCATTTTAACCACTGGAGAAAAGGTTTCAAAGAAGTCTATCCCTTCAACTTGGGAGAATCCATTCGCAACAAGCCTTGCCTTATATCGTTCCACACTCCCATCTGGTTTACTTTTGATTTTGTAAACCCATCAACACCCTATGGGCTTGACATTCTTAGGAGTTTCCACCATCTCCCAAGTTTTGTTTAGCTTTAAAGCCTCAATTTCATCCTTCACAACTTCTTTCCAACACAGCTTCAAAATTGCTTCTTGTTAGCTTCAGGGCTCAATCTCAGAAGTAAGGTTCATGACATAATGACGCTCAGACTCAGTAATGGAAGAAAGAACAGATTGAATAGGATACCTGCACGTTGATGATGATTGATTTGATTTGGTCTCTATGTTGTAGCAAACAAAATCCGCAAGTCGAACATTGGGTTTAGAGCCATGAGTGGTTTGTCTTGGTATGAAAGGAACATGATTTGGATGAGGTGATGAAGAGATATGTGGAGAGATTGACTGGGATGGAGAAGTTGATGGCGAAATTTATGGAGAGGATGAGGTTGTTGGGGAAGGTAAAGTTTAAGATGAAATGGGAGTTTGTGATGGAAGTTGGTCCTGAGGTGTAAAATGGAGGGGATCAAAGTCATGGAAGGTTTTGATATGTGGAGGAAATAATTTTTCTTTTCCTTTTTCTTGGGCTTCGTGTTTGTCATTAAAAGGAAAATGGGACTCATAGAAGATAACATCTCTAGAGACAAAAATGTCTTTATTTTGTAAGTCTAAAATAATATAGCCTTTTGTGCCAAACTGATAGCCGAGAAAAATTCCTTCTCTAAACGTAGGATCAAATTTCTGTTTGGGCCAAGTGGTTGAAGCATAACATAAAAATTTCGGACCATTATCCGTCCGAATACATTTTATTATGGAATCAAATTGATTTTCAATTAGAGAAATAAAATTTTGAACATATATTTTTACTTCGGATTTAGATTTCAATAAGACAATCCAAGTATATCTACTAAAATCATCCAAGATAGTTAAAACATATTTTTCACCATGAATTAAGGCCTTAGAAAAAGGTACACAAATGTCCATGTGCACCAAATCAAATTATTTTGAAGCTCTACTATCACTAAGGCAATAAGGAAATTTTCTTTGTTTTGCAATATGAAAAATGTCACAATTTTCATTAATATGTTTTGGAATAAAAGGAAATTGTTCACATAACATATTTAATCTGTTTCCTGAGAGATGTCCTAATCTATAATGCCAAAGGTTGGAGTTTGAGATGGCATTGGTAGCACTTTCATTAATGGAGGGTTTGTTTGGTGAAAGAACCTTTGCTTCTTTGTTGACTTGCAGATGATAGAGACCTTGTTGAAGATTAGCCAAACCAATCATCCCCAACGTACGCTTGTCCTGGATAGTGCAAAAAAAGTCATGGAAGATAAGAATATATTTATGTGTCGGTATGAGCAGTGTGAGTTTATATATGGACAAAAGATTAAAATGGAAGTCTGGAACAAACAAAACATTGTGAATAATAAATTCTGGAGAAAAAATTACTGTTCCAGATATATGGGCAATAACAATGGAATTATCAGGTAAACTTATTTGTATTGGTTTAATGTTAGAATAATTTGAAAAGCAATTTAGAGAAGATGCAACATGATATGTGGCTCCCGAATCTATGATCCAGGGGACATTGTGAGTGGCGGAGGAGGTGTGGTGTGGGTTAGTGCAAAAAACAAAGGAGATACCATTGGACTTAAAATTTTGTTGAGCATTTGGAGTGCTGAAGAGATTCACTCTATTTGGCTAAATGAGAGAATTTGGTCCTGTTACATTAGAAGTATCTTTTTATTGTTGTGGTTGGAGCAAAGACATCAGGGTTTGTATTGGGCATGGGTCAATGTGATGGGGCCTCCCTCCGTCTCTAAAATGTTGCCTCCTTCAGTGGGTTCGATCACAGCTGCACTGTTAATGGAGGACGAGCGAGAGGCATCGCGATTGAACTTTGGCCCCCCTGGGTATCGAGGATGACCAGGGGGATAGCCATGCTTTCCCCAACACACATCAATAGTGTGTCCAGGACGGTGACAATAGGAGCATTTCTTATTGGAGGCTCCTTTGACAGTGGAAGAAGGACCAGAGCCACGCCCTTTGCCGGAGAAAGAGTGATTAACTGCATTCACAAAGGCGTTAGGTTCAGTAGGCAAAGACGTAGTGAGTTGTCGTTCTTGTTGGACAACCATGGAGAAGACGCAGTTGATAGCGGGTAGAGGATCCATCAAAAGGATTTGTGAACGCACAATAGAGAAGCGTTCATCCAAACCTTTGAGGAATCGGATTATGAAATCCTGTTGGTGGTAAGTTTTGGCAAAACACGAGCAAGAAGAAAAGGGTCTATAGTTATCGAGTTCTTCCCAAAGGGTCTTCAATGCGGTGTAGAACTTAGAGACAGAACGAGTTCCTTGAGAAAGTCCATATATTTCTTCCTGGAGCGCTGCGATTCTGAGAAGATCGCCTTGTGAAAAACGTTCGCGAAGGTTATTCCAAAGGTCTATGGCACATTCGAGGAAAAATAATGCTTTGGGCGATGGAGGGAGTAATCGAGTTGAGTAACCAAGACATGACAAGGGTATTGCACCTTTCCCAAGCAGAACAAAGGGGTTCTTTAACCTTAGGAGCAAGAATGGTTCCTAACAAGAAAACCATCTTGTTTTTTGAGATTAAAGACATTCTAATGGCACGAGACAAGGACTGATAGTTTGTGCCATCAAGGACAGGGGTTATGGAGACAGAGGAAGGTCCTTCACTAGGGTGGATGAAGAAGGGACTTGATGGGTTCATGGTAGGATCAGTGGCTTCATTACTGTGCAACCGGAATCGCGACGGGACGACGATCCAAA